TATAGACCTCTTTCCTTGTATTTATTCAAAAAATAATAGAATTTGATTATAATTATTATTTAAATATATAGAATATTAATTATATAAAATAAGAAATTAAATAATTATAATAAATAACTTTGAATTAATAAAGAAAAAGGATATTCAAATTTCATTCTATTTATACTTGTTTTTTTCTATTAGCTTTCCTATTAATCAAATCTTTATAAAAACTATATCTAAATAAATTGTTTTTAGATTTAATATATTATAGCATTTGAGATATTAGAATAATATCTATAATATTAATTAGATTACTTTGAAAAAAGGATTAAAAAAGTTTAAGCTTATTAAAGGAAAGGTTTTTGTTATTAATAGATAAAGTATTAATAATTTATATATTCTTTATATTAATTAATATATTTAATTAATTAATTAATAATATATAACTCACTAATAGAGATAATATAATTGAAGATATACTTTTTAAAATATTATTATCAAATATAAATTTAGATATACTTTTAGATATACTCTGAATCATTTAAATATTATTTACTTCAGAAATACTTCTCTCTAAAAAAATTACTTTAACCCTTTTCTTTGAATATTTTTTTATTGATTTAATTTTAATTTTGATATTATTAATAAGCTCTTTTTTAATTAAAAAAATAAAAAGATACTTGGATTTTGATATTAGTCTTTTTAGACTATCTAGTTTGAATTTGATTAATAAATCTAGACTAGGAGATTATCTAATTGTATAAAAGCTTTTATTTATTTTCTAAAAGCTATAATTAGTAATATTCTATTTTATTAAAAAGAATATAAAATAAGAATTTTCTTTTTCTTTAAAAATCTTTCTATTTTCCAAGAATCCATATAGTATATTAATATCTTAGAAAATATAATTTGTAAATATCTTATACTTAACTAGAGTTATCAATAAACTACCAAATTGAATCTTTTTAGTATTATTAATAAAATATTAATATTTATTAAATCCTTATAATTACACTTAGTAAATATTCCTAATAAATAAAAGAAGCACTTCCTTTTACAATTAGATATATAAACTATTAAACAAACAATTATCGAAAATTAATACAAATTTATTTATATATTTATTAGTTTTTATATAATTCAATTCTTTTAATTAATTCAAATAAAAAAGAGAATTATAAAAAGAATAAAAAGATATAATTAATTTATTAATGTATACTTTGGGAATGTTTTAAGATTATTTTTTATAATATTAGAATTAGAATAAAAGTATATAATCTTAATCTAGAATATATTAATAATGAATTTAATACTAGCAAATTGAGGAATATCCTTTTTATTTTTAAATTCTAAGCCTAATTTTTTATTAAACTTATACCTTTAAGATATATAATACTACTTCTAGCATATAGTCCTTTCTCTTTAATTACTTTCTCCCTCTCTTATTAATTTATATGATTAATTACCTGTTTATCTAATCATATACTATTTCTAGATGTATTCATTGTATATTATAATAATAAAGTAGTTTTTTGTTAATCGTTTTTGCTTTTTATAAAGGGTTTAAGGGAAATAAAAGTCGAATCCGATATAAAGAAGATACTAAAAAAGATTAATATAATCTCGATATTAATATTCGAATTACTTATACCATAATAAATACAGAAATTAATAAATATATAGTATTTTCTCTTATTAATAAAACAAAAAGATATCTATTTAAAACCTTGATTTGAGAATTGATTTATTATGAATATAAAAAAGATAAATAAAATGATTGATTATATAAATAAAAATAAAAAAAGAAATACAAAATATATAAATAAATCAAATCTCTGAATTCAAATTAGTCTAATCTCGATCTGATATTTTATTATTTCTAATCTCAATTTTAGATTTATTTTTAATTAAATAATCTATATCTTTATTTAATGTAATCTCTTCCTTATACCGCCTTCGAGCTTATATAAAGACTAGATTATTGTATATCATTTCACTTATAGTTTCTCCTTTTTTTATTACTTCATTATAACTATTATTGAGTATTAAAGATTTATATAAAAATGGTTCTTGATTTGAATTAATATATCTTTAAAGATATTTGTATAAAGAGTAATATATTAATATATATATAAGCTTTTCTTATTTTATTTTATTATTTGATTTTATAATATTCAAATTATATCCAATATTCTAAATAAAATTCTTATAGAACTTAATAATAACTAAAAAAAGATATTTGTTAATATTTTTAAAATTAATTAAATATATAATTTATAATATAATAAATAATATATCCCAGATTTTATAATCTTCTAAAAGCTTTTTATAAAGCTTTGATAATACCGTTTTTCCTTTATTCATATATTCCCCTTAAAGATATTAATACAATATAAAAGGTTTACCCACAATATGATAAGACTGATTTTTATCCTTTCAAATATTATAATTATTCCAAATATCCATATATCCATCTACTTTTTCTTTTATCTATTTAATATAAATTACAAGGATTACAATCCAATTTCTATATTGATTTTGATGAAATTATCTTTGATTTACTAATTCTTCAAAATAGTTCTAGATAATATTAGTAATTAATTATACAATAAATAAAAAAACAGAAAAGTTTAAAAAAAATTAGGTTAATTATAATAAATCAAGAAAAATTTTCAATTATCCCTATAAAAAAGATAAGGGATAAGAATATATACTCATTATTAGTATAATAATGATATTTGAAACTTTTGCTACCAGCTTTTAATATATTGATTTTTAATACTCTTTTCAAACCAAAAATAGTCTTTAATCTCTTTTATACTCTTATCGATTTTACAAAAGAATATAAAATGAGTTTTGATTATAAAGAGAAGCTCTATTTCTTTATTTACTCTAAAAAACCTTAATATAATATTATTCTTAAAGTATTATATTAGATATTAATATATAATTAATTCAGAATACTTATTAGCTATCCCTATATATATTTATATAATAAATTATAAATATATATTTATATATATATAAATCTCGATTTTAATAAAGATTAATTTATTATATCTATCAATAAACCAAAGGAAGTTTGGGCCGGGAATTTGATACTCTCTATAAACAGATTAAAGTTTTTTAGTATATTTGTAAATACCCTTAGGATTTATAATTCGAAATATATAAATCAATATATTTCTAAAACAAATATAGAATATTAGTATAAATTAAACTTTGAATAAAAAAAAATGATATTATACCTCGAAACAAGTTTCCCTTTTCTTTAGAAATAAGTATACAACAATCTTTTATTATACTCTCAAATATACCTTAACTCAATATTGTTTTTTAGAATATTGAAGAGTTATTAATTCTATTTATATTATTCTTCAAATAAAAGTTTTTGAAAAAAATTAAATAACTTGTATATCTTTATAATATAATATATAGATATATTATATTTATTTATTTTGAAAGCTATTTTTATTTTTTAATTATTAAATAATAAAGTGAAATATATTGCAATTTTATTTCTTATTATAAATATATTATAATTGATTCTAGGTTTCCGATTCAAGCCTTATTCTTTATAGTACTTTCTAATAGTTCTAAATATAGTATTAATATTAAACTTAATAGAAAGTAATTATTAAATAGTATTAATATTATATTCATTAGAATACTATTTCTCAATTGAGGCTTGATATTAAGTTAAGGAAACTTGAGGTCGATTTATTATAATTGTATAAATAAAAATGAATATAGAAATTAAAAAAGAATTAAATAAAATCAAAAATTTATAAAAATATTAAATAATAGATTTCATAAAGCCTAAAAGGGGAAAGCATTATATCACATAAATAATATAATAATAGATAATCTAAATTCTTATTTACATACCACTATATACTAAATACAACTTTTGAAAAGGCAGAAATCTATTTTTAGGGTTTATGCCAAATGCGCGTTATCGGCCTCAGTACACGTGGAAAGGAGACTTTCGGGCTTTGGATTACGTGGGGATGGGATGAGGAGCTTGTTTGCTTTTTGGAAGATGATTTTTGTAGGTTTGGATTTGTAATGTAGTTGTACCTCTACTTACTCATACTTATGCTCAATTAAACGTCCAATTCACATCATACCTAATATTTCCTCCCTCCGTACCCATCTTGTGTATTGTATGTACATGTACAACACAACCGAACAGACGCGAGGAGAAGGAAATGTCAAAGACAAACTTTTCTCCGATTAAGCTTTAGGTATACCAGTATCGTAGTAGGTATCTAAATAGTAAGTAGTATAGTACATTTTAGATCGATTTGGAATTTCTATACTTATCCATACTCTATGCATCTAGCGTCTAGACACCTAGAACGATTGACCACCAGTACATGAATAAATATACAACCTAAGGTTAAGGTTGTCATAGAGCGAAGCGAAAAAGCCTCCACGGCAGTGGCCCAGCGGAGCGTCATTGATCTAGATTGTACGATTGCGACTTTTGTGAATTATTAGGAAGTAGGTGGTAGGTAGGTAGGTAGGTATCTTTGATGGTAATGTCAAGCAAGACTGCGATGAATTGATTATACTTTACTTTACTTTACTTTACTTTACCAACCTACCCTACCTCTACGTAAGCGAAAAAACAGGCGGAAATTGAGTACTCTTTCAAAGATCTTTTTTAATAGATTATAAATTCATTTTAAATTAAATATTGAAATTTGAAAAAAGCAAATGAAAATTTGAGTCTTCTTTGTATTGAGATCAAGTATTTTTATTATTTAATATTATATCGAAAAGAGATCTTAGTTGTTGAAGGTCTTTCGAATGGTGGTCAATTCCCGCCTGTTTTTTTGCTTATGTAGAGCCTACTTATTTTATTAGGTAGAGTACTTATCGAGAAAGAAAAGCTCAACAAGGCGCACAAGGCGTAATATCAGCCGTAAGGTTACCCCCACTTCGCCATGAGATAAGATAATTCTATGCAGGGTAGGGTAGGCTCGAGGTAGGTGGGCTGGTAGGTAGTATAGCCTTGCTTAGTATATCGATCTATTCCACCCCACCATTCGCCATCCAGTCAGTACTAGCTATTGAATAATAAACAATAATCGATCACTCAATCACTCACTCAGTCATTCCTCATTCACAAACATCACTCATTAATATACGGACGGAGTATACTCTCTCTACTCAAAATCTCACCCACCAATCCAATCCAATCCAAAGCGCACTACTCCAATCTCTACTTCTACTTCCACCTTCACCTCTACAATGCCGACCAAAGAACCCCGCCCTCTCATTGTCGGTTCGGAAAGCGGTCCCGAATCTCCCTATCCGTTACGAATGGAAGGGGAAGTGGTTTCTGGATTTGGTCGCGGATCTAAAGAAGTAAGTCCTATGTTTTCCCCTCCTTCTCTTCTCTCCTCTTCTCTCCACTTCCTATCCATTTCTTCTCACTCTCACTCTTCCTCTTCCTCTTCCCCCCCATCCACATCCACATCCACACCCACAACCTCCACAACCTCCCCAACCCACCAACCTAACAACTCCCCAGCTCGGAATCCCCACCGCAAACATCCCCGTCACAAACGTCCCCTGGATCGACACCGCCCCCTCAGGCGTGTACTTCGGCCACGCCGCGCTCGACCTCCCATCCACGCACCCCGAACTGCAAACCCCCTCCCCCTCCCCATCCACCCCTCCGACCTCCCAAACCACCCGCCTCTACCCCATGGTCATGTCCATCGGCTACAACCCGTTCTACCGCAACACGGTGCGCTCGGCCGAAGTGCACCTGCTGCACCAGTTTTCCCACGATTTCTACGGGTGCCACATGCGCGTCGAGATTCTGGGCTATATTCGTCCGGAGCTGGATTATGTGGATAGGGAGTCTTTGGTGCGGGATATCGAGACGGATATTGAGGTTGCGAGGGGGAGTTTGGCGAGGGAGAATTGGGGGGTGGAGAAGAGGGATGGCTGGTTGTTGGGGGGAGAGGCGGGGAAGAGTGAATGAATAGAGGGGAGATGGAAATTAAAGGTTGGAGGAAGGGTGAAAAATAGATGAGTTGGGATGGAAAGAAAAGGAGGGGAAAGATGAGGGAAAAAGATGAGATGCAAAGATATAGTGGAATGGAAATGAAGATTCAAAGAGGTAGGTAGCGAAATAAGCGGAGGCGTTTGGGAACTCTAGATGGTCGAATAAATAGATGGTTATCATTCAAGACTGGAAAAAGGTATACATGACTTTGCAATAAGATCGCAATACACACTTAAAAATATCAATCACATCTCAGTCACATATCCTCAAACCCAAATCTAAAGGTGTATATTTTTGTTCTTTGAATACAACTACAAGCATAAAAAATGGACTGTAGGCATGCTAGAAAGACGCCATCCATTAATTGTCTGTCGGTCTATCAAGACTTGCAAAATTGTAGGTATAAAAAAGGACAAAAAAGGCGCAGAAAACATAGGGTAGTAACGTGGAATAAATTAAAGGGGAAAGAAAATGAAATGTAGCTTGTCAGCCACAACAGTGTATCCCATCCACTCCATTCATAATAAAACCCCATCCATGCATGCAATTCTTATCCTGAAGCTCATGGCTATTTGATGTATAGCTATAAGCTCTATTCATTCATTTTCCTCGTCCGCCCCAACCATTCTTCCCTTCCATTTAGTGTCCCTCACTCCCGTGGTTTTTAATATCATAAATCATCTCAGCTCGTCTTATCGCAAACTCATAACCATCCAATGTATGCAATTATTGGTATGTTTCAGTCCTCAGTGGTATCCGTTTGTAGTTTTATATGTAGAGCTTGCGCCTCGTCCCGAGTATGCCGCGCTTCCTTCCTCAAAATATGGGTGTGAACATGCTTGCTTGGCAGAAATACGTCCAGCTGGATCATAGACAAGCATCAATTCGAGGAGATCCAGTCCATTATCGTCAAGATTCGTGCAAAGAGGTTGGCTCATATCGCGTTGCCACTTGGGGAAAGATGGTTTGAAGTCGGGGAAACAGGTCTTGTCACTGACACCAGGCCATTCTTGATCGTTGGGTGTACCTAGTAGTCTGTTGATATGTTAGCTAAATTCAAGGTATAGTCATAAATTCCATCGAGGTAGATTGTAAAAATCTGAAAGGTTGTGTCTTACTTGAAGATCTTGAAGATCTCGTCAATTTCAGAGTCACCTGGAAACAATGGCTTTCTGGTACACATCTCGGCGAAAATACATCCAACAGACCACATATCAACACCCGTTGAGTATTGTCGACCTCCGAGAAGAATTTCAGGAGCACGATACCACAAGGTAACAACCTCGTGGGTATATGTTCGAAGAGGGACACCAAAAGCACGAGCGAGACCGAAATCTGCAAGCTTGAGGTTACCTTCCCGATCAATGAGCAAGTTCTGTGGCTTCAAATCTCGGTGAAGAACTCGATGGGCGTGACAATATCGGATACCTTCGCACAATTGACTCATGAACTTCTTAATCATAGCATCACCCATACCCATTCTACCCAAATCTGGACCAGATCCTTCGGGTAAAGCTCTACCTCTACCACCCTCGGCAACTGGAAGTGATTCCATATATTTCTTAAGATCAAGGTCGAGGAACTCCATGACGAGGTATAATTTATGGCCATCTGCATGAACAATATTGAGAAGTCGAACAATATTTGGATCATTCATCTCCTTGAGGAGAGAAATTTCTCTAATGGCGGTACTAGGAACTCCTTCATCTTCTGCCTCGAGTCGAATCTTCTTAAGGGCCACGATACGTCCTGGATGGGAAAGATCCTTGGCTTTGTAAACAACACCGTAAGTACCTGCGCGTGAATGATATTAGTATAAATGTATCGTTATTCAGTGTGCAATAGACCCTGTGAAATGATTCTTTTGGTCGGGGGCTTGCGCGCATAAGACGTACCCTCTCCAATCTTTTCCAGCTTCTGATAGTTCTCCATTGTCGAATATACTTGATGTTGAAAGGTTTAAAGAACGTCGAGGTCAATCAAGTTGAAATAAATCTGCTTTTGTCCGTTGAAGTGGGGCGGTGAAGGAGGGGCAGTTTGGAATGGTAGTTGATCCTGGGTTTATGGTAACAACAGCATCTATCTTGAAAGAAGATGTACCTATGCAAAGATTGGAAGGATTCGTAAATGAGAGGAAGAGTAACGAATTAGCTATGAGAAGATGGTTGTGGTGAAGGATTGTTGTTGTATTAAGTTGCCGTAGAATCTTTCGTGTCGGAATACTCGTGATACTCGAATTTGGACTCGAATTGAAGTGAGATGAAGAGAAAGAGAAAGAAGAATTTGTACGCAGTCGTTTATAGTATTGTTAGTATTGTCGTTCTGTTATTCGTACTCAAGCTCAGGAGTAAACAAGAGAATAAGCAAACAACTAATAAACAACCAAACAACCAAACAAAACATTAAACAAATCGTAACCCAGGGCCAGGCGGAATAAGCGGGCGCGTTTTTGACGCGAGGTCCGATGTACTGACTTGACCGTACTAGGTTCTAATAAGTAATGCCGAAAAGTAAAAAAAACATACAAGAATATAAAATTGCATTCATAATCCTTGTCGGTGCTAGCTCTCCTCTACTCTGCCTTTTTCTCTGGAGGTAAAGCACGATTCGATCAACTACCTACCTAAGAAGGTTACTGCCCAGTACGTAGTGACTTCTCCTCGTTCGTGAGAAGCTCGAGTCAGATCAGAACCGTGGATTGGAACACTTCACAAGACAACTTCACAATCCTTGTACCAGTCAAACACCTCATAAGGGAGAAGGTTTTCGACCAACTAATCTTATCAAATTGACCAACAGGGAAAATACTTTCCTACGTCAACGAACTGCCAACAACCGCGAAGATGGGGAATACCCTTCCAGATCAAACCACAACACCGATGGCCAAGATGGAGCAAAAGGAGCTTCATCAAAGTGCTCCCCGGCGTTTGAAAGAAGCATTCAAGCTTTGTAAACAGACTACTTATACTGCAACAGAAGATTCTCCTTCTATCACTGGAATGATTGATCTAGAAATCCTACCCAGAGAGGCGCGCAACATAGCTTTCCAAGATTTCATGAGTGCTGCTCCTCTAAGCACCCCTCAAAAGAGGTGTTCGACCGGACCACTTGATCATGAGTTACCTTTGTCTAGATCACCAGTAGAAGGTTCATCGTATGGTTCTGAAGTTATACCTGGTAGGAATCACAAAATTTCTTTCTTCTACCACAAATACAAATAACCTAAAAATTCAGTCCATTCAAAAAAATTAAATTGGCTGAAAGACTAAAATGCTCACATTTCTACACACCTCAGAAATCGTGGTATCTAAAAGACCAACCCGTGTTTCTTTCTACATCGTTTCCCCTAAAATTCTCAATAGCTTTCGGCAAAACAACCTCTAATCATGATCTAGGTCTCATGGTTTTTCCATCTCTCATTCCCCCAGAGGTTCAGAAAGAGTTGATCCGGCGTATAGTACACCGTGATCTTCTGGATCCAAAACACATGACCAATCTACATGCCCATTACGATGTCAAATTTCCACCTCGTGAAACAGCTTCTGGGGAATCAATTGTTGCTAGGCCGAAGGATCCAACAGTACACCCAAAAGCATTAAATTACTTGGAAGTCATGACGAAAAAGTTACGCTGGATCACTCTTGGAGGGCAATATGACTGGACAAACAAAGTATATCCGGAAGAGGAGCCACCAAAATTTCCAAGTGATATTGCGAATCTTGTTGAAGGACTTTTCCCTGATATGGAACCGCAAGCAGCCATTGTCAATTTTTATTCTCCAAGAGACACTTTACAATTACATCGGGATGGCGCAGAGAGTGTTGATCGCGGCCTTGTTAGCATCAGTCTTGGTTGTGATTGCATCTTCATGATTGCCTTGGACAATGCCAAATCCGAAAACGACCATTTAGTTCTTCGTCTCAGGTCTGGCGATGTACTGTATATGCAGAAGGATTCTCGATTTGCTTGGCATGGAGTTCCAAAGATAATTCCCGGCACGTGCCCAGATTATCTCGCAGACCTCGAATTGGACATAAAAAAGTTCCCACATTTCATGACGGATAAAAGAATCAATTTGAATGTGCGACAAGTGCAAGAGCGAAAGTCGGACCGTTGATTCGCCAATTTCAATTTAGCCCCTTTATGCTTAAACCACCACCACGCGATAGTTTCCGACTAATTTACAGTCTACCCGATGCATTGATAACAATCCACACACACTACATTTCCTTATCAGTTGGAGCAAAAATTTCATATAAAAATTCGACACCCCTTTGTACTGTCAACACAAATCTCAATTTTCTTTCTTTCATGGACCACAAAACAATGGGAGAAATTATCATGGGCGGCGACGCAGACAGCCAGTCGCCCTTGCCTATCATGGGTTCTTGGGCGGTGACCAAACCAGCGAAATCAGATATAACGTGGCACATTCAAAACAAACACATTTTACATTCTCTCGTTATCACCGCGTCTCAAATTAAGACGTATTGGTACGGGAAATTCTTCGAAGGAAACCAGCAACTACATCCAAATCCAATCACCTCGGATTGGCAAATCATCGCAAAGAATAAGCGTGAATCGGTCAACTGTTTGATCCCTGAGAAATGGCGCTTGGACTCAATACCCTCGGTCGAGGAACAAAAAGATGTAACGGGCGATTACATTCAGCAGTTTCTTTCTGCCCGAGAGATCGAGATTACTGAGACGGATGCTGTGGGAATTGTAGAGAAAACTAGCAATGGCGAATGGAAGTCACGAGAAGTTTGTGAAGCTTTCTGTCATCGGGCAGCTTTGGCGCATCAATTGGTCAGCAATTTAACCTCCAATTTGAACAGCGATTCTAATATTGATTTAGGTTAATTGTTTGCATGAAATATTTTTCGATGATGCCATTTCAGAAGCGCAAAAACTGGACGATTATTTTGCTGAACACAGAAAGCCAATTGGTCCACTACATGGATTACCAGTCAGCTTGAAAGACCAGTAAGTTCGCTCTTTATGATAGACGTAAGTTTCTCACAAATCTTTAGGTTTCACGTTAGAGGTGTGGACACCACTATGGGCTATGTAGGCTGGATTGGAACCTTTGAAGGAAAGAAGGGTACAGGAAAAGAGCGAGTGTTTGAGAGCGAGATGGTCAAAGAGTTACGAAGTCTTGGTGCGATAATGTTTTGTAAAACAACTGTTCCTCAAACACTCATGGCGGGTGAGACTGTCAACAATATTATGGGTACAACGGAGAACCCAAAGAACAGACTCTTAGGACCAGGTGGAAGCTCAGGAGGCGAAGGAGCATTGATAGGATTGAGAGGTAGTCCAGTAGGATTTGGTACTGATATTGGAGGAAGCATTCGGATTCCAGCAGCTTTCAACGGACTTTATGGCATTCGTCCTTCGGCAGGTAGAATGCCTTATGAAGGTATGGCCAACAGTTTGGCTGGACAAAATACTATTTTATCGGTTGTGGGCCCAATTGCCACAACAGCTCGATCTTTGAAATTGGTCATGAAGAGCATTCTTAGTGCTCAACCGTGGCTACATGATCCATTAGTATGTGAAATACCATGGCGTGATGAACAAGAACAAATGATTCTTGATGCTATCAAATCTAACGGCGGTGGTCAATTGGCTTTCGGAGTCTTCAAGTGCGATAGAGGGGTTGCTCCTCAACCTCCTGTTGCTAGAGCTATTGATATCGTGGTTAATACTGTCAAGAGACTTGGACACAAGGTTATCGAAGTAAGTTGGAAACATGACCAAATGTTATGAATCATGAGAAACCCATCCCCTCTTTATATACATAATTGCTAATCACAAAACTTTAGTGGAAACCACCTTCTCATCAAAGAGGATGCGCGATAGGAGTAAGTTTCTCTCTCCATCTACATAAAAAACTTTCTAACAACCAACCAGAGTAAAGCATGGTCTTTTGACGGAGGAAAAGACGGTTTGTCCCTCCAAAATTCCAATCTTTCAAACCTACAAGCTCACAACCTTCAGTTCACGAAGCCCTAGCACTCTCCGGCGAACCCATGATCCCTCAAATTCAAGGTCACTACAGTACTCTCAAACCTCAAATGACCGGTTTCGACATCGCCGCCGTAAATGTCGAAAAACGCGAATACCAAAAAGAATACATGGACTATTGGAACAGCACTGCCTCACTTACTGGTACTGGCAGAGCTATCGATGCGGTTATTACTCCGTTGGCTCCTATGCCTGCGAATCTTACGATGACGTTTGATTATATTGGTATGTGTTCTTCTCGACAATAGTAGATAGGACAGAGCTAATCATGAGTGCATAGCGTATTCGACATTTGTCAATCTTCTTGATTATAGCGCTGCTATTTTACCAGTTACAACGGTGGATAAGAATGTGGATGTTTTCGATCTAGAATACAAACCGCTAAATGCAGAGGATGAAAAGGTTTGGAAATGCTGTATGTTTGATTCCTTATCTCGACTTGTTATCTGGGTCTTTGTACAAAGATCTTGGCATGTTTGAAAGAGAGATGCTAACGAACATCAGATGATCCGGAAGTTTATGATGGTGCGCATGTGAGCGTGCAGATTGTGGGGAGAAGGTTTCAAGAGGAAAAGGTTATTGCTATTACCGAGATGCTTGGGAATGCATTGGGGAAATAGTAATGTCTGAGGGGGCGAAAGGGAAGGAGTTTGGATTCTGGAAGTCGCACTGGGATTTATGATATGATATGATATGATTGCAAAGTTTAGGTATGGTCTTGGTTATTAGAGAGATACCAGATAGATTTTGTTTGTCTTTGGAGTTGGGATCAATTTGGCATAACATACATTAGTATAATAAGATTGTACATAGGTAGCATAGCTTGTGAAATACAAATTGTTTAGCAGCGAAACCATTATCATCTCGGAATTGCTCGCGTGCCTCGGTGGGTGAAAGACTCATGGGATATCGTAGATAAGAAAAAGAAGCTACCGGGACATCAAAGAGTAATGCCAAGGAATCTACTCGCAGTAGCCAGTTTTACATTCTTCTAGTGTCGATCTAATGTATAATGTAATCTACTCGTATCTACGATATTACCCTAGAAATCATTCTCTATCGTGGCTTGATATGTGCCGATTGGTAGGTACCCTAGGTATGTGGATCGCTTTTGGGGGCTTTTGGGGGCTTTTGGTCCCTTTTTGCATTAGATTGCGAGATTGATGGATTGATGGCAATAATGTACGATACCAACCTATACGGTACGTAGGAGGTGCAAGGAATCAATGACTTAAGTACATATCTATCTACCTACCTACCTACTCTGTAGTAGTTATTAGTTAGTCTCCACTTGAACTGAATCAATCATCATCGTCATCATCAATATAGAAAATGATATGGTAGTCTCGGTTATTGTTACTGTGCATCAATTAGATTTCCTTTCTTCTTTCTTCCTTCTTCTCGTCTCCACTATATTTCTCCATCTCATGTGACTCTACCCCTCCTAACCCCACATTCTCGAAATGCTGCTCTGCTCAAAAATTGAGGGAGATTGATTTGCAAGTGAAAAAAAGTGTCAAGGTAGGTGATGCTTTCTTTCTTTCTGTGTAGAGTGAAAAAATGTAAACAAACATAAAAACACAAAACGAAAGTTTCCGAATCCGGGAATCGAACCCGGGGCTACTCGGTTCTATATCTGATGATAATGAAAGCGAGTTATGTTAACCCCTACACTAATTCGGATGTGGCTTTTTGATGAATGAGGAAAGGGATCATATAATATATTCAAAGCAATTATTGTAGGAGTGCAGGAGAAGAGGACACAAAGTGGAGGGTTTGTTAGGACCTAATCTGTACGAAGGAAGTAGAAAGGGTAAGTCTGCTCCAGATCGGAATGGTGAAGAGTAGGTTACCTACTTAACGTCGAATTCGAGATGGGATATTGTAAAGAATAATAATGTCTAATTTAGTGGCCACGTTATATTTGAATATTATCTCGTGATGTATCTTTTACGTTATACCTCGTATCACAAAGTATATTTCTCGAGCTTCACTTGTAGATTTCTGGTAGGCTCTTTCCCAAAAGATAAAGTATCCTCGCAAACACCCCACAGCTATCAAACTTTTCATTACACAATCAAACTTTAAAATTGTGATAAAGTTGATCAAAATGCAAATATTGGACTCTCAAGTTTTAATACAATCAACTTCATATTCTTCACATCATAAACAGAAAAATAAAACGAGCGTTTCCAATCATTCAATGATCGAGTAGATTTATCTGGGTGGCCTTGCTTCTTTCATATTGCGTGCTCAAAACGCGAACAAAATGGCTTTCTCAAAAGATGTTATTGACAGATTTTTGAGTGGAGATCTTGGAGCTCTCGGGCTCTCAGGACCTTCAGAATCACTTCCACGCCTTGACGATGACCAAATGAAGCAATTTACATCCGGAGACTATGGAGCTTTGGGTTTACCTGCACCGTCATCTCTGCCTAGTCCAGAAAAGGTTCGAAAAGAAGCCAAAGAACGATCTACCGAAGTGTTGTCTCATTGGAATAGACTAAGACAGATATTGGAGAGGCATGAGGATGTCATATGAAAACGATGGATGAAGAAATCAAAAGTTCATCGATCCAAGATTATTTTACAAGCATGGCCAGGAATGTCTGCGGCTCATCGTCCGGATTTTGAGGCATTGATTAAAGAGGGAAGTCAGCTGCAAACAAAGGGCACAAAGTACAGGGAAGCGTATCTATGGCCATATCTCAACGTGGAAGATTTGGTTAGAGGGAAAACCTTTCTCCTTTTGATCAACTCTAGAGGCCGTCATCCACCTCATGTCTTCGCACACACAGATTTTCAAGCCACGCAGCTCGGCCGTGTTAGTGCTGCTACTATGCCTGCTTTTCTTAATCTTCATACTATGTTGCTTGAGGGAGAAACAGTCAAAACTTACGGCCGTCTTATTTCTTGGGATGAAGATGAAGATGCTATGATGGACACATTCGCTGGCCTTGCACACCTACCGGGATCGGGACTTATGATCTTGGAAATACAACAAAGACTACTGCATCTGCTGGTGAAGTGCTGTGAGGCACTGCTTCACGACATTGATTCTGATTCCTTGATCAGCGAAGCATCGATCAAGCCAGAACCGCCTCTACTCACAGATGGTTCGGACTGGTCGACCATTGCAGCCGTAGCTGCAGAAGCACCCTATCGCCTACCTTCAAAACTCGATTTCCATCGTCTGCAGGTCATCGTTGAGGCTAGACGAATGAGTGCCGAGGATTATATCCGAGACTTGAGAGAAGATCCCTGGCTATTTTGCCGAAGTTCTGGGAGACTGGAGCGAACATAGACAGGAAAAATTGCTCGACACCTTTGGAAATCGACATCCTACGCTTGATAGACCACTTTTCTGGGAATATGTCATTGGAAACGTCGTCTCCGATGCGTATGGTGCTTTGATCGTATGGGAGAACGTCGCTCAACAACTTAAGCACTTGGCCTTTCTGCAGAAGAAGTATGCGTCTAAAATTACACCGAAGAAGCAATTACCATCAGAATACATGAAGGCATTGTTGACGTTGAGATATACGCTAAACCAGATGGCGAAAGGCCCAATACGAAATTTGAAGATGGCAGTCCCAGCATCTCCACCATATCGTTCAAAATTCGTTCGCGACCCGCAAGTACCAGGTTCTACAATGATCCAAGTTCGGAGTAAAGGAGAACAGGATGAGATGATGTGGCTTTTCAACAGTCTCTGGAATGACCAGCAGCTTTTCCTCATGACCCTACCTACTCTGGTAGATGAAATTGAAAGTAGGATTGAACGTGATCCAAACGAGAAAGCAAAATTTTCGGCTTTGGTTACACGAATCTTTTCTGATCTTGGTCTCATCTCGCGGATCTATCATGAACTGGATATATATCTGCCATGGGCTGCTGGTTACGATAATGCGCTGGTAGAGCATAAAGATCAGATTGAGAAGGAGTTTCCTAAGCAGCTCAGTTTACTTGCCAGCGTGGATCGCCATCTCAAAGCTACCGGCTTAGCTAAATTCGGATCTCCAGCCGAGGGACGCTTCCATTACCCATCGGATAAACGAAGAAACAAACAGAATACAGAGAGCATGAGGAAAGCTGAACATAACTTGGACGAGTTTTGGCAGAAAATGGACGAGGTCTACCAAAGAAACACTGGTCAAACATTAACTCAGGCTGTCGAGCATATCTGTACTGCCGTGCGTCCGCTCGAACGGACACCTGAATGGGTCGAGCCAATGAAGGTACCAAAACCCAAGCCTCAGGATAGCAATGGTCGCGATGAAGTTATTTCAATACCACAATTTGATTCCGAAGATACTACCAAATTTATTGCTCCACAACCAAAGTCCAAGCCCAAAACTCGCGGTCCAGCGATTACTACCGAATCTTCGACTACATTAGCTGCAGCTCCAGCAACAGCTTCAACTCTAACTCCGGGCTCTCAATCAACATTCAAACTCAAAGCCCGAGCAATCAAAGTCTTTAAAGTTCTCTTCTGGCAACCATCTCTCAATGATCTCCCGGGCGAAATCCCCTGGGCAGATTTCCTCTACGCAATGACATCTACGGGCTTCGCGGCCGAAAAACAATACGGCTCGGTGTGGCAGTTTACGCCGACGAAATTGGATGTTGAGCGGAGTATTCAGTTTCATGAACCGCATCCTTCGGGGAAAATTGCGTTTCGCACGGCTAGGAGGATGGGGAGACGTTTGGGTAGGTCGTATGGTTGGGAGGGGGGCATGTTTGTTCTCGAGTAGGATTCGGTGAGGTATGTTTGACGATTTAAGATTGGAAGTGTTTGACTTGTTCAATTTACCTAGGCATTTGAGGTGAAATTTGGTGTTTATTGACTTGGAAGTCATAATAATGGGTTTGTTCAAAAAGCTTTAAAATAGGCTGCTGTTAAAGTGCTGACTACTTTGAAATAAGGTAGAGTGATTGAACTGAACTAACGTAAGAAGGAAGGAAGGCGTGAATTTTGTAGATTAAATAGATTATAAAGATGAATGTGTGCACCACAAACATGCATTATGGATTATTGAAAATCATGATTGTAATCTCGATCTACATAAATACTACGCACTCGTTGGCTCTGAACTTGAACCCCTCGGTGTCTCCAACGGCACATCGGCCTCTCTATCTGGTACGTGATACACACCCTGCCGCCCAATAAATACATCTTTCAGATTATCTACAAACCCAATGTCATATAAATTCTCAACATCCCTCAAACCCCATACGCGTTGCCATTCTCCATCTCCGATTGCTCCGACAGGATCCTGTCCATCAGCTGTACGCAAAACGATCTGTTGACTTTCTGCTGGCCAATGTGTCCACGGTGGTTCTATTCGTAAATTCTTCTCTCGATTTTCGGAGAGAGCGCGTTTGAAGACATATCCCTCAGCCATTTCGATATCCCAGTCGGACCATTTCTGACTTTCGTTGGTGGTGGTACCGCACCAAATTAAATATATGTGAAAGAAAAAAAGTCCATAGACTAAGGGAGTGATGAGGAAACATAAGAGAGTTATGGAACCAATTCGGGTATGTTCTTGTAGTGCCCATCCCCAAATTGAGAAGTAACGAGACCAGGTAAAACCGAATCCTAGAAAAGACCAGTCTGGATATACGACGACGATGAAAGTGGAAAGAATGGAGTTTCCGATGTAGACAGCATAAGTGGTGAGATTTCCAGTCGTGAAAAGAAGGAGGAGAAACCAATGGTGGTTGTTGTAACCAACGCAATTGTTGATGAAGACACAATGGTGATCGCATTTTGCGATGCAATGTTTACAAACATGACAATGCTTGGATCTGGCAGGTTTGAGTAGACGACATGTTCGACAGGGATTTCCGGGATGGAAAATGGTATAGTCATAAGGGTAAATACTCATTTGATGGACGTGATTCGAAGGTGTAATATATCCTGGATCACAAGAAGCAGCTAGATAGAGGAAGACATATGGTAATGTCAAAGCAATAATTGCCTTTATTCTGCGAGATGTGCTCATGAATGACCATGCTGAAGGCAAGAACATAATCTCGGACACGGAAAGTAGAAGAATGAAGAATATCTTGACCTCAGTTAGCATGGCTAAGGACTCTTCACTCCCGCGAATCAGAAACAAACAGCGTACCACGAACTGCAAGAAAGTCATGTATTGCCATTCCAACCCTTCGTTGTAGGTTGGATGTATTCGACCCATATCACTTGGAGGTATACGCTTCTCGATGAACAATACAAAAGTCACTTGACTTCATGCTCTCTCGAGTTAAAAGAAAACCAATCTTACCATAACAACAGGATGACGATCATTCCATAATGTATGAGCCAGTCTTCCCACCGAAGCACTGAGACGACCATTGGTTAACCTCTCATCTGCAGCTCTGAAACCACGAGGAATGTGTACCCATAATACTCGATGTAAAATACCTATTGGTGTATTCCTATCAAGTTGTGAGTGTGTGAAACATAAGGAGATTGAACAGCGGTGATACCTCAGTGCTGGAAGCCTGCCGAAGAAAGCAACGAATGTGAAGAAGGATAGAACTAGAACAGCTATTGCAATATTCCGAACAGTACCCATTTTTGAGTAAAATTAATTGTCTTCTATTTTCTAAAAAATGAGTGTAAAGGGAAGAAAGCAAATTAATCAACACAGTCTACGTAGAAATTCATGATATTACAGTTTACGTGAGCATCAAGAGTTTCAAAGTTGTTAGCCTTTGCTTCGGTACGTAATCTTTGCCAAGCCCGATCTTATTTGTAGGGGTTATCAGCTGATCGCGCGCGGAGTGTTGGCTTTCTGAGCGCGTCAAAGGTTAACATCACATAATTTGCGACAAGAAACAATCCTTTATACACCAGAATTTACTTGTATGGAGCCAATCAATGACAAACAGTTAAATCAATGCATGTTTTGAGGGCACTCGCTTCTTTCAAACGTTTCCTTTGACACATTTTTCCTTCCGATTATATTTACTCTTCTCAAACGACTTGCGACCGACAATCCCTCTCCAGTCGCAAAGGCCAAAGCCATGGCTTCTATTGTATATGATGGTGTTGGGGGTGGAGGAGTCCTTTTTGAAGGAATGAAATTCTTTATTCTTCAGCGAGTTCCTATGCGCTCAAGATGGGTTGAGATAATTCGAGTAAGAGCGTCTTTAAAATGGAAGAGAAAGAAGCATGTTAATGATTGCGACAGTCAAACGGGGGTGAAGTCGAAAAAATCGAAAAGAATGCCGAGATTATAATCGCAGATGGTGCGCGAAAAGATGCGCCGCCAGGATCCATTTCATGGAAGTTTATTGAAGATTCTGCGAAGGCTGGGAAATTGGTGGGCATGGAAGAATATCGATGTGGTGCAGCAGAACGAGCATCAGAACGAGCAAATGCACAACCCGCGAAATCTACGCGCACACCTTTTACAGCCGAGGATGATCGAATATTGACCCAATGGGTCTTGGAGGGAGAACGTTTGGGACGATCTACCAAGGGTAACGAATTATACAAGGAATTAGCAGAACGAGTATGGAAACTTTTTCCTGATATTCAGATAATTTACATTGAATCTAGATTAATCTTTATCGCAGTATCCTCATCATACATATCAATCCTGGCTAGATCATTGGAAGAGGCATCTTCTGCCCATTTATGAGGCAGGGAACCTACATTATAAGCGCGATGACAATTTACCATGTCCCAGCAGGGAAAAAAAATCTGCTGGAAAGGGGCTAGCTAAGCCTGTTGCAACAAGAGTTTCTCATGAACGCGCACAGTCTGCGGTGCTGGGTGGAACAGTCGCAGTTCCTGCCTCGTCAGCTCCGCCAAAACACACGAGCTCTCGACCGCCACCTCGACCAATAGTCTCAAAGGTCTCATCCCCCGAGACGAGGATAGAAAAACCCGTGGCTGGAGGACTTTTTACAAAAGAGGATGACGATCTCTTACGAGAAGAGTTTGAGTATATTTGCAACCTAGATTCATCCAAAGAAATTGAGGCTTGGGAGCTGTGGACTGAAAGGGTAAGCTTGACATCTGTTAATCTACACGAAATCCCGCTCATATGAAAATTTCCAGAATGGGCGTCATCCTGCTCAAGAATGGCGAAACTATTTCCATGAAGACTTTCGCCCCCGAGAGATGAAAATTAGGAGAAAGAAGACAGAGACAACTGTTAAGTCTGTATCATCTCCATCGATTCGGCAAGTTTCTGGTCCCCCAAGTGGTAGAAGTACCAAAGATTCCGCGCAAACGAATTATTCTACCAAAAAGACGGAGAGAACCTCTGTGAAGACTACTTCCAGAAGCTCCGCTACGGCTCACAATGCAGCATCAAGAGTTGATCCAAAACCAAAGACACCTGAAGCCTCGACACGAACAAAGCATTCTACCTATAAGCAGAAGAAAACCTCACCAGACACTGCTATTGAAAGCTCGGTTGCGTCCTCTGGCAACCTTAAATCAAGAGGTGATCCAAAATTAAGCACACCAGAAGCAACCACAAAAACGAAGCATTCTACGCCACAGTCTAAAGAAGCCTTGGTAAAAGCCACTGCTCGAATTTCTGTTACACCTTCTCGCAACGTTAAAGCAAAAGTCGATCAAGAACCAAAGACGCCAGAGGCAGCACCGCAGGAATTTGATTTGGAACAAAGACCTTTTATGAAATCGCTGACGACCGAAGAGGACTACTTCACGCTAACCCTAAAACAATTCTGTGAAGAGGATGAAGAAGAACCAATTTTCAATCCCAGAATTCGTGGAAAACAAATTTCTCTCTTCAGACTTTGGCAAATCGTTATAGTATTTGGCGGCTTTGAAATGATAAACGCAGAAAGTCGATGGCAAGAGGTAGCTGATAGATTAAGCTTCCCTATTGCCAATCGTTCCAAGGCTGCGCAAGATTTGAAGAGCTGTTATGATGAAATTCTATCTGAATTCGAAAGAGTCGTAACCGAAGAAGAAAGTGATCCGCAGAGTATCCTTATGTTTGCGGCCTCGCAAGATGAGACTTTGATAGCCTCACAGCTTGCTGATACAATTACACGCAGTGTTCAAAGACCCTCTGATCACGAAAGGGATGTAGAGGATGACGATGAAGTTATTGAACTACCACCATTAAAAAATTCTAAGCAATTTTCAACTATGTCAACCAAGAAGCGTGCGATTGACTCCGATGGATTATCCAACCTTAGCGAATCTTCATCAATCAATTCTAAGCGTAAAGCTAAGCGTGTTAGGGCCGATAAGGGTAAAGGTAAAGAGGTAGAGATTCCATCGACTCCAGAACATATTTTCAATGCTACACAGCCACCCCGTCATATATCGCCGCTCAAATACCAAATTAACGAGAATGATAATGGTGGTAGCAGTGAGGATGATAGCGACCGTGAAGCTCGTGAAAGAATTCTTCGTATTCAGCAAAAGAAACCACGAGAATTAATTCGAAAAGCTTCAGCAAAAACCCTCACAATCGAGCCAGAGACGCAAGATTTCTATTACCCAGACATTGATAATCAATCCCCAACAGTATCTCCAACTCCAGTCCGGAGGAAAAGGACTCCAGGCCCCATTATTGACTTATCTCGAGATTCATCTGCAGAGTCGGAAGCGGAAGCAGAAGCAGAAGCAGATTCACAGGACATTGTTGATATTGAGTTCGCTAAATACATTGACCTTGGCTATTCCCAAGATATTATTTACGACGCTCTAATGGCATCAACTTATGACTTTGATATTGCAAGTCCGGTTATGAACCAATTGCAAATGGGACACGGGATACCGGACGATTTAGCAGGAGTCTGGACTAAAAGAGATGATGATGCGTTAGAGAGGAGGAAAGGCAAAGAGTACGAGAGAGTTAGGGAAAAACATGGTGATGAGAGAATTCATGCGAGGGTTAAGTTCTTGAGAAACCTTAGCGAGATTGATCAATGAGTGGAGTTGGGTAAATGCCAGGGAGTGGAAGCGTGTGTTGTAGTGAGCTATAGGGGGGATGTAATAGCAATTATGGTCCGAGGTGTAGGACATATGATACAGAGGCGTGGTATGTAATGTGGAGGGTAGGAATGAGAGATGGGTTTGTCTTACGAATGGGTACGTTTTTGTTTTGGGAATATGGTTCATTCATCCAGCGCGTGATACCCATGAAATCAGGCGAATGGCTAGCTTGTACTTTAGATATCTTTTAGGTGATACTATTGATATATTTCCATTTATCTATAAATCGAGGTATATGATATCAAAAGAGCAAAAGATTTCTGGGTGCTTGTTCTTGCAATAACAGAATAGTATGGTCTTACCATAGAGGTAGGAAAGAGAGAGAGAAAAGGCGAGCTTTATTTATCCTCGAGGGGAGAGATGAGGAGGGTAAATTTGAGTCTTGGCCAAAATGTCAAGATGACTCTCTTCATCTTGACTCTTGGTATTCCTCATACTTGGTTGCATTCTTAAATAACTCTTGATGTTAAGAGTATTAAGTTAGCCTGTACTATGTACTAGAGCTTGACATTGAAGCTATAAAACAGTCATAATACTCCAAGTTGCTTTGGACTGACGATTGAAATGATCTATGTGTCGAAATTGCGTATACTTACATAGCTAAGAGACTTTGCTTTAACCATGCTCGTTGGTATTGTTGTCTATATCTGTTGAACAGATACAAATCAAATCGGCATCTTCAATCATATACTCTCCAATCAAGCCTGAGAGACACATTCCAAAAATGTTGTATTCAGATAATGGTAATCTGATTAATCGTGAATTTTGAAAGGGGAGCTAGATTTTGATACTGATGTCGCCCTTATCATATTTACATCAAGGTGTGAGTGAGTATATAAATTTGATCTACGATCTTATTTCAAACTGTAGATATTATCTAGAGCCGCCGTAGCCATTAACCACCAGCCACGATGCCGCTATAACGGTTCTCCATCATGTAACTTAAATTGGCTAGATCAGCCCGATAAACCGATCGATCTTTTGTTATTTAATGCCACTTTAGTTTGTGGTTCATCCCGCCGCTATAAATTGGACTCACGTCCACACGCTAGCGAGTCACACTAACAAGTGAGTCAACCCCGCCAAACTCATCCCACCATAATTTTTGTAAATAAATCGACGACCTCCCTTTACCTTTTTACCATTGTTTCGTTCATTCACAACACAATTGTATAAACCGCAATCATGTCGGCACCAACGGAAAGCGTAGCTAAGCTACTCGATGAGGTCACTGGAGAGATGGTCTCCAAGACCGAATTGAAGAAGAGACAAAAGCAGAGACAAAAGGAAGAAGAAAAGGCAAAGAAAGCTGCTGCTCTTCCAGCAAGACCAGCCGCGGTCAAGAAGAGTAACGCTGAAGCCGAGGAGAAGGATCTGGATCCAAGAGTATTTATCTCTCGGGTTTTCGATTTTGAATGTTGACTGACAATTGATTCATAGCAATACTTCGAGATCCGTTCGCGACAAATCAAGAAGATGCAAGCAGCATACAACAAGCAAGAAGCCAACTCCCCCGACCCATACGTACACAAATTCCAGCAGAACTATAACTTGCAGAACTTCGCCAAGGATTTCGGTCATTTG